TAAATAATTAATAAATAATTCAAAACATTAAATGAATCAATTAACCACCAATAGATGTAAAAAAGAAAAGTATAGACATTTCTTAGCAAAATTAGTTATAAAACACAAAAATCCGCATAAAGATCAAATCAGTGGTTTCATTGGAGGTTTCGTAGAATTAGAATTCGTTAATTTTTCTACGATTATTTCTTACCAAATCAGGGGCATGCTCACAAGGGAATAGAGTATCATATCCCTCCTCAAACTTTTATTTTTGGTAACTCATTTATGAATTTCCTGTAATTATTGTCTTTTTTAATCGATATTTTTTTTTAATATTAATGAATTCAATGTGACTAAGAGAGGCATGAAGTGGCATAAAAAATTAGAATTGATTTAGTTTTTTAGCTTTGTTTGATTTTTTGTTAAGTTTTCCTAATAATTACGAAAAACCGAAAAAAAAAACGCAGGAAATACCACAAAGTGTACAACATTTTTTTTTTGTTGTTGTTGTTGTTCGGTTTAAAACGATTGTATAGACTTGCAGTTTCTAGTGCCCATGAATAATATTTTTAAATCAGGTACAACAACATAACTTAAATCGTTATTCTTCATTAAAATACATAACTCCTTCCAAATTTGAAATTAAAATGTTTAGGTATACTAAAAAAAACCGTGTTATCCTAGTATAGCTTTTTTACTTAAGAATTGCCCCCCTCTATCAGAAACGCCTATTAAGCGCACCACAAAATATTTTTTCTTTGTAGGTAATAATCTAATAAAATAAAAAATAACTAGCCGTTTATCTATCTATCAATATTCATGATTAGGTACATTTGTATACCTTGAAACAGCTCAACCATTTTGTGTTGTGCATTTTTGTAATTTTTTTGGAGTGATATTAATTATCAACATATATACGCACATCTAGAAACAACATAGATATTATATTTTTTAACTAACATAAAAAGTGAGATTTCGCTCATACTTAACCAAAAAAAAAAAAAATTGTAAATAGGTATTTGATAATTTACATTCAACAATAGAATCTTTTTTTTGATCTACTCTATGACTAAATATTAAAAGATTTAAGAACCACAACATCGCATTTATTATTTTTGTCTATATAGTTAAGAATAATTGAAAATAAGTTTTAGATACTTTTATTAGATTATGCATTTTTATATTCAAAACGACATAACGTTATTTTTAAATGTATTGGGTTATTTCCCTAAATAACTATTATGTACAACATTTGGTTTTAACCTTGATTTTGGAACAGTTGGGTATGAATAATCATTCCTTCGAAAATGAGCTGAGTAGATTACTTTTTTTCTCAACGTTTTTGGACTGAAAGCTTTTAATTCAATGGCACCTATTCAATTAATGTATTTGATGATATAAAATATTGTTACCGTTTATAAGTAATAACCAAAACGAAAATATTTATATAACTGTTAGTCAGGGTCTATTATCGTGTATTATAGCACACACTTTGTGTATTAGAAAAATGTAAGTGTACAGAAGCAAATTCTTGTGTGTCGTAATTTTTACATCAAGTCTATATATTATTATCTTTATTTATATAATTCTACTATACGTGTGTGTCACTGAACTCCTCCTAAACGGCTGGACTGATTTTAACGAAATTTTTTATGTGTGTTTGAATGGGTCCCTGGATGGTTTAGATTCATAATTGAACCCGATAGGTGGCATTGTAAGGGTAGCTGACACAGAGTAATTGGTATTTTTAATACAGCGATTTTTTTTTTTTGTTGATTTATGGGTTACCTTGGTGATACGGATGAAATTAAAAAACAAACAAATGAATAATTAGTAAGATAAGTTGTCCCAAAATTAAAATGTTCATTCAGATAGAAAATGAATAGATAAAGATTCATCAGAGGGCGCCAAGAGAGTGATACAATCTAGTTATTACTTTTTTAAATATATCGGCAAATACGCACATTTATATTATATAAGTATGTATAAATGAATTGATATTTTTTTGCCGACGCCATAACTTGAAAACGGACGAACCGATATGCCTGATTTTTTTGTCGTGTATTCGTAAGGTTATTATGAGACGATTTTTGGAAAATCTACCGGAAAAGTTTGCACTGACAAAATACCGATCCATTTTTATACATACAGATTAACAACTAAATTATTAACTTTATATTAATATAAATTGTCGACCAATGTTCACATGAAGGTATAAAACAAACGTCATGCCGTCTGCGAACGACAATTAGCTATAATACGGTACACGCGCTTTCCCGCTGTCGAGCGTCCCCACTCCCTAATAAGTTAGATTAGGCTTAACTTCCTTTAAAATCCATCAACCCCCCCCCATTTAAAAAAAAATCTAGGTTTCGTTATTTTTCGTATGAAAATCATGAAAAAAATGTCATAATAAAATACTTATTCCGCCGAAGGTGGACTACCACTTTCCATCTATTTTTTTTTTTTTGATTCATTACTCACATGGTCAAAAACTTAAAAGGAATAGGGGTAAAAAAACAATAGAAAATTGGGAACGCTGGGCGGGACAGCTATATTAGCTGCATGTTCCGAGGAGCAAATATTGGACGACGGACTCGGAATTCACAATTAATCCAGAACCGTCGGTCAAATAGATCGGCAGAAGATCAATTGACAAACAATGAAAATTTAAGAAACCAGGCTGCAATCACACGTACTAATGAAAGTCAAGAGCAACGCAATGAACGCCGTCGAGCTAATGCATTGACACAAAAGGCCCGTCAACGAGTCACCAAAACATTATAAAATAAAACTATTATAATTTTTATTATCACTATTATTTACACTATTTAAATATCACAATAGAACACAGGTGACCCAAATGAGAGCTGTTTTGTTCCATTTAAAATATTTAGACGTGAAAGGAAATCATTTTTCTACATCCAAAGTGGTTTACATAATTGGGAAAAACTAAAAAACGGAAAATACGATTTTTTTAAAATTAAGGCGCAACGATTTCATAATTAAAAATTTTAAGATTAATTTTTCTACTATTAATCTTTGTCTAAATTTCCAGAGTATCGTATTTTCTGAAACAAAATTTTGTTTAATTTATGAGTAAGTAAGTCGCTGTTTGATTTCTAGTATTTAATATCAATACCATTTATTTATACCGTATAGTTTTTCTAATAATTACGAAAAACTGGGGAACAAAATAGGAAATAGGTTCAACGAAGTGTTCCTACAGTGTTTGGTTTTCTGTTATTATTCGGTTAAAAATAATTGTAGAGACCTCTAGTTTTCACAAAATATTTATATTGACATTAAGTAGACGTGGTCAAATTAGGCTATTTATAGGTATTTAATATTTTCTTGTTTTTAAAGGTTTGAATTTGTTCGTTTGTTAGGTATCTGTGATTAAAATGATACGACTTGAAATACTTGAAAATTTAACACAAGGTTTGTTATAGATTGTCTTAAATGTTAAATGGTTTAGTTTTTTTGTACAAGCATTTAAAGATCAAATTTTGGGGGAAATCGTAAAAATTGCGGTATTCAAAACATGTCATAACGTACATCTTGCCAATACTGTCCGGTTATACCCAATTGAATTTTTACTATGTTATAGTCATAGACATATTCAGAAATTTGGTGTCCAAGTACTAATGTTTTTCCACCCCCCTCCCTACACCAAAAAAATTAAAAAAATTATTCGACTTTTTTCACCTGGCACGTCAGAGCTTTTTCCGGTGACCACTCCTTATCGTTGTCCTTTTTAGAACAAAAGTTATTAAAAAAAAAAGCATATTTTTAACTAATAATAGTTATAACTAGTATTATACAAAATTAGTAGTAAAATTAGTACTGATGTATCATTTGATGTAAAAAAATTAGTTATTTTAGAATTTTTAGATACTAAATTAGCAGTTTTAATTAGTTTTTTCTGCAGCTTTTCCATATACACCGTCACTTAGATTTATTATTTTACCAGCCATAGCTGCATGCGTTTGTTTATCACTTAAATAGGTAATACTAGCAAATGTATAAAATTTAAGCAAATACCAATTTAATCTATAATAAATAATCGACATAAAAATGAATACACAAATATTAATAAACTAATATATAAAATTACGTATTTAATCTTATCTTTGTGACTGAATGTTTTTTTATTATAAGTATTATTAGGTTATTACTTATTCTTCAATAGATATATTTTAATTTTTGATGAATATATAATAGTATTAAATAATAAAGAAAACCGTAAAATATAAAACACAATAAGACATGGATATGTAGAAATGTGAATGTGGTACAGTCACATAGAAAATCCAAAATGTATTGTTTTCTATACTTTGATAAGTGATAACTGTATAAACAATGTCGCCATAATACCGTGAATACAACTGATTTCTAAATTATTTTCCTATAAAGTATGCTTCTTTTTATGGTAACTGGTAAGAGTACGGTTCTAGAGTTCGGACAAATCTAAAGATAATATATTTATCTGTAAATCTTGTCTATACTCTACAGCTGTGATGCCAGGTTTTATATTATTTTTCATTTTCATTAACAGAAGATGGATTATGCAAAAATCTAATGCCGCCCATATAAAAATGCCGCGCATGGTGATGGCTCCCTCTAGCCCTCCTCTTTAATACGTCACTGGTTGTAGCTAAAATTATAAAAATAGCCTATATTATTATTTAAATACTTACCAGAGTTTATAATCCATTTCTTTAATTCAACTTCATTAGTAGAAAATGGGTAGCATATTTTTGAAGAGCTACTTTACGTATTTTTACATCCTATATACATATATTTATTTCCACCCACGTTATAATTTATTTGGTTTAAATGTTAATGAAACAATAACACAGAAGCCAGAAATAGTGTGTAGTGTTTTTCAAGAAGTTATAAAGCAAACAATCTGGTCTGTGGATTATCAATGTTTTATAATAATAGATATTTTAATTTTAAACATGAGCTGCAGTTAAAATTAAATCGAACAATAGGTATACGCAACGTATTTCTCATATCCCGTATCAGTAAACTCGCAAATACGCAGCGGAATGATATATTGATGTCCTCCTGAAATCACTGTGTAACCGCTGAGCCGACCAGACGTGAGTACTAGCGATTACAACGTTACCCGACAACACTAACCTTGCGATTGCAGCGTCTTATAGGGTTACCCGATTATTACCGAGCCGTCTAGAAATTGCCCAGTGAGTTATACATCTATCTATCTTTAATATCTATAATCAATGGTATTACACAGCATCGAAGAAGCCGCTGAACCAAAACGGAAACAATCAATTTCAATTAAATTATTCATAGCGATATTACGACATAATATCAATATGATACGATATATTATATTCTGCAGGCCGATAGGGTTATGAAGAAAACAAAAAAATATGTCAAGTTAGATTAGGTCGGATTGCTCTCGGATTAAACCGGGCGAAAATACATAAAAACACATAATATACGTGTACGAAACTCGGAATTTTTATTTTTGTTTACATGCTAATTAAACACAATCGTATATATGTATATAATATTTCTGCTTCGTTTAAAAATATTGTCGTTTTTATCATTGTTATTATTTTCCGAGAGTATAGTTAATATATAATATGTATAATATTACGTTCTCTATAAGCACATGTTAAGACATTTAGAAGTCCTAGTATAAAAACTATTCAATGAGACCTTAAAAAATAATAACGCTAATAATTGTTAAAAATTATTACTTCATATGATTAAACAAAATGAAAACAATGCACAATATAGAGTATTAGTAGTACTGTAGTATTTTCTACTAAAATTCATTAATGAAAAGTTATTACTAAAAACAATAAAATATTAAAAAGCACAAAGTCAATGGTTCAGTGCATAGATAAAGAACATAAACTGAGGCAACCTGGGCTTATTAAAACGTGGTTTCCATGTCCTCCTGGACTTCCCTTAATCCGGACTTTGTTATCTGAAGTTACATGGAACGAAATCCCGATGAATCCTGCGACATGTGTTTACCGCGATAGTAGGTACTAATCTACAGATAAGTTAGCAACTGTTCCCACTGTTAGTGTAAGAGGACCGTATACAAAAAATTGTATATTGGTCAGGCGAGCTATTTCTAACTATATAGAGTTATCTCACTCATAATGGGAATTTATTAATATTTTAATTCGAAAAGACTGCATATCATACAAAAATAAATAGTGTTCGGTTAGGTTAGGGTTTCATACCTCTAAGTACGATGATATCCAATTTTTAACATTAGCCGTAATATAACAATATATATATATCGTTGTCGAATATATTTCGAATAATTCTATGATATTTACTGGCCGCGCGGACCGTAAAATTGTTCAAAACAATTTTTAAAGCCACCATGCTCGTGGCGATTTTTTCCACACGCTTAACAGAATATGTCGCGCTTTACTTAATAGCATTATAGAGAAAAACTAATACGAACCATTAACTGTTTCACTACACTAGAACACTTATTGCTTAGTTCGTTTTACGCGATTTTCCGAAAATGAATTTTTACACTCGGCATGCTGCGATAATATATCAACGAGAATGAAGTTTTTTTCCTCAACAGCCGGTTTCTCTATAAATACTTTGGCCATAAGAAAAAATTAGGTTTTTTTTTTGCAATTTACAAATCCTTGCGAAAATTCCCAAAACGTAATAATTGTCGTCGTTCCCTCCCGTATATTAATAAATATAATGTACAGTAACAGTATACCCGTGTTCTACTTACACGCAGTTCGAACTTTAAAAACAAATATACGAATACGATATCTTTAAACTTTTCCGTCTCCGGCTCAACACCGCGCATAATAACACTTGACCCAGATGATATTATTCTTTTATTTACATCAGTAATTTTACTGCAAGGAATTCGTAAACGCTGGTACATTATATAAACATTATTATGCATCTGTACAGTGATGGGTGATGAAAAGGTTTTTGAGAGGCCCGTGGATTCAGAATATTTTTGGACGGGTGAGTGAATATAATGTGAGTACGAATATGTGGTACACTGGTAGACGACGGATTATAATAATTATAAAATCTGTTAAATTTCAAATATAACTCGACTAGTAAAGCATATTGAGCGCTAGGTAACTGTGAGAAATCTCAAATACGGAATTTGATTATAGTAGAAAATATATAGCAAAATAATAAATAATTTATTGAGTATAATAAGAACAAGATTTCTGCTTAAGTTTTTCTAAACGGTTTTACAGTTTTTATTTTTTTTAATACAGGGCATCTCGCGAAGATGTATTTCACTTAAAACAATGCTCGCGAACTACATTATTTTTTTTAAAATAAGATTTAATGGCATTTTTACACCTTTACACAAGTGTAGACTGGTAAAAAAGGGCATAGGTATGCTACATAAATTTAGCGTAAACCGTAATAATGTAATGTTATGCTCAAACAACATATCTATGTACAATTAATTATTTATATTATTAAAACAGTGTGACAAATTTGGCCGAGTACTTGGTATTTTCTATTTAAAAAAAAAAAAAAAAAAAGGAAATAATTTAATAAACCTAACGGAACATTCACTGTTCGAAAGAGATACATATTATATTCTTCACAAAGAAAAATAATTTAAAATATATCAAATGTAGTAAAAATCAACGACATCTGATTCAGCCCTTAGAGGGCACTGCCACCACAGTCGTACTCGGAGTATTTTGACAATATCCATATAAAACCTCAACATATATAATTTGATTATTAGTTATCTTATATCGACCCCGACGTGAAGGTCAACGGGGTCGTTTTATTAAGCCCACAAGTACTAACGGTTTTTCCGTTGTTCGATCCATATCTCATGTATTACTTTCAATTGAAACATTTCAACGAGTCAAATAAAAATAATAGATTTACAACATTAGCCAGTCCTTTAATGACACCGCCGTGTCGTCATCATATTCCCACACTATAGATACCCTTATATAATTTTGTCTAAACACAATTCAAATCAATATATCACTATTTTTTTTATGGATGACCTTTTAGATTCTGAGTGGAGTTCGAAGAGGCTTATGGTTTTACAATGATGTTTATTTTATTTTATTTTTTTCTGTGGACAACTTTTCTACCAGCAATTGTGCTCCGATTTTCAATGATAGCACTTTTTCTGAATTGAAATCGGACTAGGGAAGTACTTTAAGAAGGTTTTTTTTTTGTTTTCTCATAAGTTTTCCCAATAAATGGGAAAAACCAGGAAAAAACATGGTAACCCGGAAGAACGGGCAAATAGGTACAATATTAAACAAATATTATAAAAGAAAATGTTTAATACACATACAATTGTTTTACCATAATATGAAAAATATATTGTTGACAAAACAACACTATCAACCGAATTCCACATCATTTTTTCGTTAATCGTTGCTTATAGATATACATTAAGTTCCCACCTATATCCTACCTTTTCAACTTCCCTTCTACAACGGTTGCTGCACCCGTCCCCATTATCCTAGGATAGATCATTTTTTCCTCTTAAAACAAATAAAATGTAACGGTTTTTAATTAAAAATCGGGCGTCTTAATCGCTCGAGAAATCCCAAGACGATCACTTTGTCGAGAACCCCGTATACAACAAGTACGTACTACCAATTCATTTCGAAAATCTAGCTCTGACATGTATTACTCGTGTTTTGTTTCATTATTAACTTCTTTTAATAATTCAACCTTTTGTTTTCCGAATTTAAATAGTAATACTCGTTATCTGAGTGCACGCAGTTTCGAAGTGTGAAATACTTAACTTACGATATTTTAATTAAATTGTGACTGCTGTCGAACGACTCCAGAATCACGCGAGGATATTTACAGGTATATATCCTAGCGTTCCAACACAGTGGGTAGGTAAGCGATATTATATTTCTAATTTATTGATCTCGTCACCATTCTCGGATTCACGACTCCGAATTCATTCAAACAAGTGGCGCTGAACGTGGGGTTCGAGTCTGGCCTATATCAAAAATTGTACTATATAAATATATAGGAATGTAATTAGTATTATTCTATTTTGGGAGTTTTTAGAAAAATTGGTCTTATACAAAATTTGGTGATTGAACAATGGTAGGCAGAGGTACCCTAATTCACGCGTTACGGAGCTATGGCGATTTGCGATCCTTTACCGAACGTCTACGTCTGACCGTACGCATTTGTAGGGATTTATACAAACCGCCGGTTTTTTCCCCACACGACCCGCCTATAATCCACATTAACCACAGCAGAGGCGTCTACCTGTACCTATTATTAATATCGCGCGAGCGAATGTAATAGTATTATCATAATACACGCGTAAAATCCGCTGTAAAATTAAAACAATATTACAATATTCCGGGCGACAAACAAAATATCATATCGCGGCCGCCGCGACACCTACGGTAGGTAACACTGACGTAAACACCGCGCGGCCAGGCGTCCATTTTGTTTCGCAGGATGTCGTTGCAATAGTATCCGATGTACTCACCGATCGCCGTTGGTCTTGCAAGTTCGGATTTTCACACGTCACGCAGGAATGAGAGAAAAAAAACCGAACGATTATAGTCAACAGCAAAACGAACTCTGACGGCGATTACGGAAAACGGTTAAATAATAAGGCGCGCGCGACTGACCGGTTCACGACGAACTTACTGTGCGCCGCGAGGCGAGCGAACGCCGTCCGCCGACGCGCGACGAGAAAATTATGGCGTGAAGCCGTGTGAAGGGGGTGAGGAGGGCACGAATTTTCTACCGAAAAGGCTTCGGTGTTGACAGTGCGACCAACATAGTTTTATACGAGATCTACGAGGTAGGCGCGTACATGTTAATATCGATACGACAGACTGTCGAGGAGCGTTCGGGGAATTCGCGTATCCGCGCGCCAGCGAATCGACAGCGGCCCGTGCACCCGTTCCACGGGATTGGTCTCGGGCGCGTGCCGTTCCGGGTTTTTCCCCGGTACGTAGGTATATCACCTAAAACGACGAAACGGCCGACCGACGTAGGTACCGATAGGGATTCTTCGACAGTCTTAAATATCGTGTGACGTACCTACGGGTTCGACTGAGAGTCAACGTCCGCGCGGACGACCGCTGTAATGCGTTTATCGTAAAGGCGACGACGACGTTTGATTGCTAGCCGTTGTAATCTCGCGCGGGTAACGTTTCGGTAATGCCGAGACCTACCGTTTTCAGAATCGAGCCAATTCCAAGAATTCCCCGTCGTTCGGATCACGGTAAATCGGTTAATTTAATTTAGAATTATCAGCGTTTATTGACGACGACGACGTAGCTGGAACTAACCGTCATGACTCGACTTCTCCTCGCCCCAGTTTCGTAATGTCATTTTCTGGTGTGTGTGTGTGTGTGTGTGTGTATGGTGGTAGGACGTGTGTAGACGGTTTCGTTTTCTATTTTCGTGAAGGACGCGGTATCGAAAACATAACATTTTTAAAAATAGATATCGGTATTATTAGCATCACTTACTATATTGATAATGATAACGATAATGTATTTACACATTTCTATTGGAGCGAGGAATGTATTGGTTTTACAATGGTGTTTGTGTTTTTTTGTATCCGTCAACAACACTTTCCTACCAGAAATCTTGCTACACTCATCAGCGTAGCACTTTGTCTAGAATAAAATCTGACTGGTGTGGTACTTATAAGAGAGGTTAGTTTTTGATTTTCTCAGGAGTTTTCCCGATGAATGTAAAAAAAAACCCGGAAAAAACGTAAAAAAACCGGTAAAATTGGTTGAATGTTAAACAAATATTATGAAAGAAAATATACATAATGCGCATTAGTATGAAATTATTTTACCGTAACATTACATTTATATATTGTTGACAAAGCAATACTATCAACCGAACTCTGTTCAGAATCGTTTTTCCGTTAGCAATGGTTAATCGTTGCATACATTAGATTTCCCCTCTACTACCTTCCCAACATCTTACCTATTATTAATTATTACGCTTCCTCGCACGCTACCATTGTGTACGATGGCCAAAATAAAAATCCCCACTAATTAAAATTTTAATTATATCGCCGTCTATCGAGAATTGTATTATACATCGCAAAAAAAAAAACCGGCCAATGAGCCATCTATACTGTTTATAATCAATGACTATAATAGTGAATTAAAATGAAACGATACGTTAACATTCTACAGAAAAACTTTTTTTTAATATGTACCTACCTACGTATCAAACATGTATTAAGCTTGTTTTCCTTAGCGGCTATGTTAGTAAATCCACACAATATTACTGGTCGCATTAAAGTTAGGTTACGTTTTTTTCATTTCTCTCGAAAGCGATTGTAACCAATAACATTTATAAAATATAAGAAGAAAAAAAGCATTTTTCTTAAATACATTCTCGCGAATAGATTCAGCGAAAAAACATTAAACGCAATATTACGTTTTATTGTAAAATCGCATGTGCAGAAGTGTTTACTAGTGAACTAAGTAACAATTTATAATGATAACAATATGAAAACCATTATGCACAAAAATAAACAGAATAATCAATAATGATTGCACGAAGAGAAAGGGAGAAGATTGAAACGAAATCTTAAGCACGTTCGAAAGTGGGTATCATTTCGAAAGTTTTGCTATTATAGTCGCCTGACGCAATTTTCTCATGTTGATATTAACTCGTACATAGAAATGTATTCATAATACCTAATCACAGATGTAAAAACAAATGCATAGCCGACTCTGTGAATACCTCTAAAGTTGTCAGTCAAATACAAAGGTCCAAGAGGACAACACATTCTAATGGCTTATGAAATATATATATATATTTTTTCGTTTTGTATCTTAAATTGTGTGATAAATATTTTATAATATATAGTGACTAGTTAATAAGAATAATAAGAATAATAATTGAAATTAGTTACAAATTATTTTTATGTCAATATTATCACATTCATTATTATGGAATAGGTAAATGTATAATGGTATACAATTTGGTCCCATAGTAGGTATATTGCTGTCAAATTATTTATAAATCGTATTATGACTCTAATCACGCATTCGGGGCTATCTATAGTTGTTTTATAACATTATATCCTTAAATAATATACGATGGATAGAGTTGGTCGACAAATCTGCAGTGTTGAATCCAGACAATTATTCTGGATTGTTTTTTTTATTGGTCTTTCTCATATGAAATGTAATCAGTATTGCACATTAAATAAATATATTTGTATGACGTATTTGTCAGGGGGCTTCCAGTTTAGCTAACATCGAGTCCCCACATGTCTGCCGGCAGAATACTGTATTACGAATTGCGGGCAAAATAATCGAGCATTGTCAAACCATGTTTATGAGATCGCAGCGCCAAGAATCAAGCCTCGTCACCTATTCCATGTGAAGGTAGAATCAATAAAATATTATAGATGCCTCCAGCTAGACCATTGGAAGGAAAAATGGAAAATAAACATCCCAATTAACGGTTTTTTACTTGATAATACATACACAGTAAATTATTTGGATCGGATCTCCCTCGAAAGCTGTGGACCAGACAGAAACGTATACGTACCGGCCAAAGTCAGTGTGATTATTTATTGCATACATAGCGAATGAAAGCAGATCCTAAATTCGATTGTAGTGCGACAAACAAACTATAGAACACATAGTAAGCTAGTGTGAAAATTCCATGGAACCTTAACTGAGATAAACGCAGCAATGCACAAGGTAATTGAATGGCTGGACTCATTAGACGTCGAAATCGAATACCAATCAGTACCAAGGAAAAACGTAATGCATCCGCTATCTTTTGTATTTATTCATTTATTTACATACTTATTTATTTATTTATATTCAATAAATTCTAAATTTTTTCTATATAGTTAGTTATTGGCTTATTCTAATTCACCTGTTAGTTATTAATAGTATAGTTTAAGGTGTTATACCCGCATCTATTGTTTCAGTCCAACTGTCGGGTAATATGCAAAAACAATGCTTACGCAGGATAATAGATTAATTAACTACTATCTAAATTTTAATTTTAGAGTAAAAGTATCTATTTATAGAGAACATCTAGAGGGAATATCTTAGGATTTTTTGTATTATTCAAAACATACAGCTCGATATAAAAGACACAAAAACATTGTTTTTTTGCATGTTGCCGGTAATCGGACTGGGACAGTAGATGCGGGTACAACGTCTTGTCAAATGTATTGCATTCAATAAAGGTCATACGAAAATAAAATAATAATGATATTTTCTCCATCATTGTGTAATATTAATGATCTATGATAAAAAATATATCGAACGTGTTGGTAGACGGTACACTTACCGCGGGAGTTGAAGGCGGTAGCATGGACACCATGTGCAGATAGGTGCGTCGTCCATGTCGGTCGCGGTCCGGCGACGGGCTCTGCTGCTGGTGCAGGTGCTGCTGCTGCTGCTGCTGCTGCTGTAGCCGACGCGGGGACAGTACGACCCTGTCGTGTTGTGCGGCCGCAGCCATCATCGGGATCCACATTGGCTGCCACCGCCGTGTACGCGCCTCATCCGCCGCTCAACCGGTGTCCGCCATGACCCCGTTGGATATTTAGTCGTGGTCGTTGTGATTACGCAGCGGACGCCGCCGGTACACCTGTTTGACGGGGTAACGAAAACGATTATAATTAGAAACAGCCCGTTGATGGTTTTTGCGGTTTTTTTCCCTTTTATACAAAAGTAGCGCAACGCTATACTTTTGCTGAATGTTCATGGATTGAGAATAATATGTGCATTTTATTTTGCATTTTTAATAGTTTTTGGCTAGAAAAATGCATTTTTAGATTATGAGATACTTTTCTACCAGAAGACTTGCTTGAATTTCTACGTGTATCACCTTTTCTGAGAGAAAATCGGCGTGGGGAGGCACTTTAAAAAGGTCATTTTTCGATTTTCCCAAGAGCTTTCCCAGCAAATGTGAAAAACCTGGATAAAATATGGGGAAACTGAGAAAATCGAATCAACAATTAAACAAATATTATTAAAGAAAATATACAAAGCCTATTTAATTATTTTATTATAAAATTGCATGTTATATATATTGTTGACAAAGCATCATTATCAACTAAACTCCGCTCAGAATCGTTTTTTCGGAAGCAATGGTTTATTGTAGCTTACAAGTATACATTAAATTATCTATAACAGTGACTGCACCCGTCCGCATTATCCTAGGACGTCTTTTAAGATAATGAATGGAGCGAGGAATGTATTGGTTTTACAACGATATTGTTTGTTATTTTTTATTTTTTCTGTGAACGACTTTTCCACCAGAAATTTTAATCCAATTTTCAAGTGTAACACCTTTTCTGAAAGAAAATTGGACCTTGGTTGTAATGAAAGTTTTTTAAATTAGCGAATCTTACCTAACCTAACTTAACCTTAGTAACCGAACTCCGCTCAAAATCGTTTTTTGTTAGCAATGATTAATCATTACGTACAGGTGACATACATTAAATTTCACTCCGTCTTCTTAAATTGTCACCTAAAACAATAGCCAATCATATGATGAATGTCAGTTTTTTTTTTTAGTATATTATAAGTAATTTTCTATAAAAATTTAAAAATTTGTCCGATTTTTAACAGAAGTTTAAATTTACCCGTGCATCTATTTACATATAATTTTATAGACAATTGCCTATATAAAGGCTTATCATACGTTATTAATTATTTTATATTTTTTAGGTCATTAAAACATATTTTTGTAAAATTATTTGGTAAAAGACAATCATTTCTATAGTTATAATAATTAGTTTATTTCCAAATGTAAGTTTTTAGCGAAAAAACAGGGACGAGAATAGAAAGTGACAGGCGAGCGCGTTAATTCTGTGCTCTCTCCCACTCATCATTTCTTTATTTTAATAACAAGTTAAAGTTTTTCGTCCGTAAAAAATTATAATGTATGCTGGTCACGTAATACATGTGAATAATGTGTAATTCATGCGTGTAATAAAAACTGAATCGACAAGGCTCACCCATGATTCAGAGTACAACTGGTTTTTAAAATTTTTTTTTTATTTTTTTTGAGCCAAATTTTCTGGTATTTCTAGGGCTACTAATGTAACACTGAGCAATCAAGTTAACTAGATTTTTACTGAAACTGCATCTGATAGGTAGTTTATCGGTAGTAGATAAATGCGTTGTAAATTTGCTGTACATTCTTATACATTTAAGCAAATGTATAGGATTTAATAATATTTACTGTGTGTTGAATTCGGTCCACGTAACATTGTATACGATGTATACACAACATTACGGTATTTTTTCATCAATGATACCAAAATTATTGCGGACGATGATCGATTGTCGTCGAAAACAACATTTCAGATTCCGAGCAGAGCTATATATTAGTTTTACGACGACGGCGATATCATTATTATTATTATTATTATTGTTATTATTATTATTGTTATTATTATTATTATTATTATTATCATCATCATCGTGTGATTTTATTTTGTATATATTTTTTTTCTGTCTTGGACCACTCATTTTGTGTGGCGATAAAAATTCTCGCAAAAAATATCGTCAGACGACTTTTCAGATAGTATAATATAAAAAATTGTATTAATAACAATAATAATCACAAAACTGCTAGATATTTTTCAGAAATTCTTTGGTCCGATGCACCCGAGGCTCTCACATGACTATAAACCGAAAAAGTATCGTGAAAATTTGAAACACGCGTGCGCGCATGTACGTATATAAAAGTTCTATAATTCGAAGCTCTCGTCTGTCATCGGAAGTATTTTTCCAAATGTAAAATTATGATTTATCGTTTGCTTTCGGAGTTTTCAAAATGATATAGGTATCGTATTATATGGATTATTATACGATAGTATGATTGTCGTATATATTTAATAAAGACACACATACATACAATCACATAAAAAAAAAAAATACATATACAAACTTATAGTTCAAAAATTTTAATCTTAAATACAAAAACATCCGTGAGCAGCAGAGCTCCGTCGATAGATTCGAATTTTCTTCTACCTATTTGTTGTATTTTATAAACGTATTATTTTTAAAACAATAAATAACCGAACCAGTGACATATTTACGGTTTCCTTCTGGGGAAGGAAGAGTTGGTAATCAAATGAAAAAATGGGGCATCAGCGGATCTCTTTCACTATTAGTTTTATACATTTACGTTTAATCATCCAAATATTGTCTACTGAGTTAATGTATTTTCACAATACTGCGATAAATGGTACGATAACAATAAAATATAAAATATGCTCATGGTTTATATGGCTCAATTTGATCGTTTTAAGGTATCATTTATTGCATCAGTGGGTACACTCTTTATTAGCAATGCCATTTTGGTACACATTTTTCAAAAGGTATATCCATCAACCCATAATCCTTTTGATATACTTTTATCCTGGAATGAAAATATATAACTTCTAGGAGAATGAAAAATACGTTTAAAAACGTGCGTGTATGAAAGAAAAAATTTTAAATCTAAAAAAAGGAGTAGGAGGGTCATTTATCACCCATATCACCCCCTACAAATACGCAACAGAACCGACTTCTATAATAATAATGCTATACTATATGTCCGTGAAGATACCTCTCCCACTTTATCCTAAGGACTTCACACTCATACTGATATTTTTAAATTAATTTGTTAGATAGTTTTTAGAATTTGCATACTTTTGGTTTTTCAGAAAAATTTGATTTTTTAGTGGTGGTGCTAACTTCATGCAGTAGTAGTGGAAGAGTAGTAAAGCATAAATGTTCTGGTGGCGTGCAGGCAAATGGCGTTTGAATAGTGGTCCACTAATCTTCATTATACCAGTAAAATACAAAATTATCTTCGAGTTATTATGCAATGTACAATTTATATTTGATGTTTGATTAGAATTTTAGATAGAAAGTTTAGTTTTTAAAATATTAAAACGACTAAAAAAGATATTTTCGTTAAACACGTGACTATTACTTTTATATTAATAAGGAAAAACTTAAAAAGACAAAAAATACAATTAGTTTTATATATATTATTTGTTTAGTAGGTATGTCTGATTAAAATTATATTAATAAACAGAAATGCTTGGAAATTTAACAGATGGCATATTATAAATTACGGAACAATGATTTAATTATTTAAATTTTTAATATTTTATTTTTCTACCAGAAATTTTTATCCAAATTTTAAAAATAGTATATTTTCTGTAAAGAAGATTTTTTCTAATTTATGAGTATAGTTTTCCTAATAATTACGAAAAATCAGGAAAAAGAGTAGGAAATACGGTAAAGTGTACGGCATATGGTTTTTTTGTTTTTATTCGGTTCAAAATTATTTTAGAGACCTGTAGTTTTCACTGAATATTCAAAATGTTCTAACTATTTTAGGTTATTTATAAGTATTTAATAATTTCGTGTTTTTATATGTATTTTTATTTGGTAGGTATTTGCTATTAAAATTATTTGATTTAAGAGAAATGATTGAAAATTTAACACAAGGTACATTATAAGTTGTACTTAGTTATCCAAAAAAATAATTTGATTTTTAAACATTGGTTATTTTTTCATAAACATTTAAGATCAAAATTGTTATATTTATAACAAAATAATTGTTGCGAAATGAACCTTCGGTCATAAATTCTATTTCATATTCCAATAAAAATGCATTAATAGAGTAAAATCTATTAGTTTTCCAATAATTATAAGAGCATTAAATGAAGATTCCAAGTCATTATAAAATATTCTATTTCTGTACAACAAAAAAAAACATATCACTGTTCAAAAAAATGTACAATGGGAAAATTGATAGATTCCACAAAATTTTTGTGATGGACGCATTTGAGGATGATCGCACAAAATTATTTCTAGTTTGAAGTCTTCAGGATAAAGTGGGGAGGGAGCATTTTCACAAACATCAATACTATACTACAATTATCTAACTTTCAAAAAAAAAAAAACCATTTATTTTGATTGTATAAATGGTAATGATGGGGTTTAAAAGCTTAAACTTATAAAAGGCAAATTCTTGATACTAACTGCGTGATGTATATACAGAATTTCAGTTATCTGGGTAATCTATCTATAGGAGTGTACAAAGTTCAAAAACCACCCTTCGCTTACAACAACATCAA